GGGCTACCGTGTACTTGGGGGGTATACTACCTGAAACTACCAAATCTGACAGGGCTCCGTCCTGCCAATCCACTGCCTTCAAGCTTGAACACCTGTTATGGAGCGCAAGCCGAACTATGAATTTAGGTTTAGTATTTGTAGTTCAAATTTTGTTTGAATTAGACAACTTTCGCGCCAACCTAATATCACCGCCGGTGGAATGAGCTCTTGGTTTCCGACTCAAACATATAGGCGCGCAAATCTTCCCTAGATTGAAATTACCCTATTTTCCTGTATAAGCCGCTCCCACTCCAGCGAACAATGGCGCAAAAGCGCGCCTTCAAAAAGAATTCTTTTTCCAATCTAACAAACTGGAGACGCGGTGCATTTTGTGACACCTTTTCACTGCGCATATTCATGGTATTTTTTACTTAAGAGATTTTCTGACGATTTTGGAGTGTTTAGGGTATTTTCCCTCGAGGTTAGAATGGACTTGACAACTCATTCGTTTTCAATGATGTTATTGATGTTGAAGTTGTGTTTTTTTTCCATTTCTGTGATACTGCTGATAGTTCAAGGGTACTTCCAATGCGTTTACAACAAGAAAATAGAGCAAGAAGCCACTATCAGGTTATTAGGTAAAATAGATAGTAATTGGCTTGTGCGGCTTTGCGCATCGCGACCGTCATCGCACATTAACCCGCGCGATGAAAGTAATTGCGGCTTACACGCCGGAAAATAAGGTTTTTGTATATAGATATATGTATTGGAAGAGTACAACGTCCAAACTATACGGATAAGCATTACTTTTGAGAAAGTCGTCCCAATATATTTCACTAATAAGCAATGGCATTCCGTTAGCTATAGCGACGGGGAAGCTTTTGCATTAGCAAATACAAACTCCGTGTCAATAGCGCTTGCAGCAAGAAAATGTGAATATGCTCTTTCTGACACTTTCTTGGCAAAAGTCTGAGATTATAGAATTTGCAACTCATTTGCGTTAACAGCAGGGTTGCTATGAATCTCTTCAATGCAATGACTCATCGTCAGAAGAACAAAGTTTACACTCTTTATTTGAGTTTACAAAACTCAGAACAAAAGCCTTCTTTGACTTTTTTGCTATATAAACACAAATACCACCTTATTATCAACAGAATGTTTGCGTTTCGATTAGTGCAGATATATTTTCCAAATCTTCCTTCAAAAAACATGAGAAATTCCTAGGTTGAAGAAGAAGCAAGCAGCGAATGAGCGCTTGTTGTGATACTTGCTATCCAGGTTAAGAAACACTAGCGAGAAAAGGAATGATAGTTTGGACAGGTTGTATATTAAAAGATGGTAAAGATGAGAACTATCAAAGAAGAAAAGATTTGGAGTTAGCTCTAATTCTGGACGGATCCTATAGGCTCAAATTAAATTGCTGCTTGCTCTTGCTGGTGGGAGTTCTTTGCGCAGATCGTTGACTCACTAGATCCGGCGCATTGGTGACCTGGCTTGGTCCTTGTGCGTCGTGCTGAAAAGTGAACAATACATTACAAAATCACAGCAGTAACTTTGTAAGTTTGTAGGAAGGACTTGAAAATTCATTTACAATAAAGACACAATAAGAAGAAAATGCGATGGAAACACTTTAAAGGCAGCGTACACCCAGAATTTCACCTTCGATTTTTTTGTCATTCTGTGGCCTTTCCGTGCCCTGCCCCACAGTTGTGACATTGAAATTCTTCAAATCCCCCAAAAAACCCCGATTTCCGGGGACCCTTTCCCAGAGGGCGGACGAGTTTTCAACTGCTCGGCCCCGTCGGCATGCCAGCATCTGCAACAGCATGACAGCCTGCAGTTGCAACTGCAACTGCTGCATATGCTGTCGTGGTTCGTCGCCCGAAGGAGGCGCACCGCAAAAAGCAACTGCACTGTTGCAACTGCAGTTGCAGATGCAACAGCTGTTGCAACAGCAAGTGCAACTGCAACTGCAGCTTACGCTTTTTTGGATCCGTCCGGAGGAGGCGGAGCGAAAGAAAAGGGGAGGATCGAAAGAAAAAGAGGGGGTTTTCTCCGCTCAAAAGCAACATTGGGAGACCGGACCAACGCAGTTGGTCTTCTCTTGGATCCAGTATATACATGGTATAGAAAGATCTAGAAAACTGGGCAACTTAGATTTTGGGTGTACGCTGCCTTTAATGCAGCCTGAAGAGCGGAAACGATGCCAAAAGAATGCGCGCAGTTCAAATCGCGCAATTTGCCGCGCCTGATTTGGCTGTGTACATTTGAAATCGCGGGTCAATTGGAAGTCGGGACAAAAGTTATGAACTTCGCCCGCTTTATATTCAGTATCGCGATTAACCAGAAAGTTGCGACAAAAGCGGTTTGCCGCAGCACTACAAAATTTCTTCGCGGCACCCCGTTTTGTGGGCGGATCTACTGCGCGAGTTAACCACGAATGTCTGAGGTATGTTCCGAATAGAAAATGCGAGCACGCGACACTCTCAATATTGGAGTGAGTATTGAGAAACTCTCAAGAACACTTTCTCATAAAAAGAAAGTAGCCACGATTTCCTTGCGCAAAAACTGCGCAAACTACATCAAAAAGGGTGTACTTATATGACAGTCATGAAAACTAAGATAAGCAAAGAAGGTTGCAAAATATAGGCAGTATCAACTAGCATCGGTGCGCTGGCATGCTTTGCAACAGTGTACCGTCGCATGCGACGCGCCTTAGCGCGTAGCAGAGTTCGCACATGTCACACGCGCCGTCGCAAGTTGCCGCAGAAGCGACGTCGCATAGCCAGTGCTGATTGGCACGGCCTATAACTCCGTTATAAAGCGCTGAAGTTTGAAGATTATATGCTCTATGCTTGGGTGGCCGCGAAAACCGCAATCCGTCGTCACCATTTTGTACATGACCTTATGTAATTATGAATTTCGCTCAATATCTCGTTTGAGGCGGGGGCAGGGCCCGGCACAGATGATCTGGGGTCAAGGTGGACTTATTTTCGGTTTAGAAGTAAAGGGGATGTCGCTTTTATAAGGTCCTGGGAGGAGCACCGAAAAGGATTGGCAAAGATGGCAGATACGAGTTGAAAGTGTTTTGTTTTTCAAGCGCGCGAGTTTTGAACGCAAGACTCAGATAAACAAATGGCTTGTTTACACTGCACAAACAATCATAAGGCACCGAATTTGGGCTATGTGTATACAATAATATTTCAAACGTCATTATGTAAAAAGTTTCGAAACTTATGCGTCTTAATACCTGTTCATATTTGTTGTATTCTAGACAACACCAAGCCAACTGGGTTGGTTCGGAGCATAAGTATCGGAGATTAAATGAGTTTTGGAATTTTTCATTTGGATAATTATTATAGAACGCTCAAAAATCCATCTTATAGTGAAGAAAGCAAATCGAACCATTGCCTCTTTTTTTGAGCCGAAAATAGTGTAAGCCTACGCATTGATAGCGCTCCAATCACATGCGGTCTCCTTTGAACTATATGGCGACGAATGCATCGCCAAGTTGTTGAGGCTACATATTTGGCTGTTCTAGGAGAATTTCGACATTTTGAACACTAAAATGGCACCATACTCAAACAAAGCTTCAATCAACTTAAACTAATTTTTCTATTACATTAGATATCTCAAAATACGCTTTTTGGTTTTCTTATTGTTATCTTGATTGAGTAGGAGTGATCCTTCTGATTTTGACGTCAAAAGCGACTTCGTAAAATTTCGCGAAATCATGGGGTCCTTTTCAAAAAATGCTCGAAACCAAAATTTATGTGGCGCTTAGACTTTGAGCAGAGGCAGGCAGAGGAGACGGCCAACAGGCGCGAGTATCAGTGGGTCACCAACACAAAAGCCCCACTTCGCTTTAAGTGAGTTTTCAAAAAATATCGAATAAAGAGCTTTGGCGACTACAATATATCTTATTACAAATCTCAGATGCTTTAGATGTGCAATACAAATTACAATTTGTATCCCAATCCTAAACAGGACAAAATTGGCATGATAGGAGTATCGTGAAGGTTTTGCGTCATATGCCAACTTGTTTGTTCTTTCCTCTATTCGATCTCTCAAAGAGCGCGCGTATGTAGCGCAAACCTCCTAGCGTTGCGAGCGCGCAAATCTAGGCAAGGGTTTGTCATAATCCCGATGACAGACTGTATATGCTCATTGCGTCGCAGAGGCTCGCATTGATTCTGTCATCGCTTCCTCGTGCTCGCATAAAAATGGCTTTGACTCCACTTGAAGAGCATGAAATTACTGGAAAGCTTACATCCGAATCCCGTATTCCATGCATAGGGAAGGCGGAGAAGTTCATCTTAAACACCTCAAGTTAGGGACAGGGCTCGGCACGAGGTGACCTTAGCATTACGAAGTCAGCTAGTACGAAGTCCTCCTTGACTTCACAGCATTTTCCAATGGAAATCGTGGTGTTTGTATGGTTTGCTTTGGCAGCCTACTGCGTCCGCCGTGCACCACCGCGCGCTTGGAGCAGCGTTGCTGCCAACCATTCAAAACTCTAGAGGGTGTAACTGAGCGGAAAGGGGCTTGCGGTGATGCAAGACCGCACGGATAGGCAAGAGGATGTAGAGTAGAACTATGTAACAAGTTTGAAAAATTATGTGAGGGTTTTTTCTCACTGCCATTTCAGGTAGCCTTCCTGCTGGTCGTAAAGCCAGGTAACTCCGGAAAGAAGTTGGCCACAAATTCAGTTCACATAAGTTTTTGTAATTTTTATACGTGGTACCGACTCCTATTGCGCACCTAACACAAAGTTTCGTGTCATATTGTTCAATACCGCTGTGTTAGAGGGTTCCGCCCGAATGCTGGTGGCATGCCAGTGGCGTATTTGCGGCTTTCCTCTGCCCCGAAACTGCAAAAACGACATCTTTTTTGCTTGTTGCCCCCAAAACGATATTCAGCCTGTCCTTTAGACTACCTGTGCCGAGTCCTGGTTAGGGACTTTCACTTACTTTATCTTTGCAGAGCCTTTCTTTTGGAGTCCTCTTTAACTATTGTTTTAGGTTGTTCAAAATATGGGTAAAGTTGACACTGACAATCAAGATAGACCAAAGGCGGAAGTCCGAATAGTGAAGGCATATCCTAGCGACGACTCTCGACTAAATTGATAATGTGATCTTATAATATTTTTACAAATGAATGTCTCTGTTTTCTGTCTTTTCATCGTGACTCCCATAGTGGTTTTGTCAGATAGTGTTTCTTTCAAGTGAACGGCTGTCATGATATGTACGGTCCGAGTCAGGGCAACAACTCCGCGCAGCGCAAGGATACGTGCGCGAGCTAGCTTTGAGCCAAAATTCGCCGGTTTGCATTTCTTTTTGCTTTTTATGCGTGCTTCCTATTCTTTCATTAAAGAACAAGAGCTACGACTGTTATATGTAGGTACAATATAGCTATGCCAGCCCGTGGTGGTATAATTGCATTGCGAGGAGCTTCGCCGTTAGGCAGATTGTATTTCTGAGCAATAAAACGGGTCGAAAGCACAGTTTTGGGGAAGCCTTGATTCTAAACATCTTATTTGTCGTGCTGACTCCAAAAATGTAGCGTGCAGAGCGCAAAAATTTAGATTAGGCTTTTCGCAAAGCTGTTTATTTTGAATTTGAATGTGTGCAGCAGAGAGCGCAAGATTGTTATGGGACTCTGCACTCGAACTTACGATATACACACTCCAGCTTGCATTTCGTATCGCTCAATGAGTGAATTTCAGAACTGAGGCCGTCCACAATTCTATATCTGGAGCAAATTGTTGCCTTTGCAGATGCGTTTTTTCGCTCGGGATTCCAAGGGAGCGAGAGGATTGTCTAATATATCTGGACGAGGCTTGGTTATTTGCTGGAATGGTAAGGAAGCGGGGTGGAATGATACAGAAATACCAAGGTTTTCCTCGGCCGAAGTCCTCCAGAGATTCTCCTGCGGCGGCAGGACCAATGGAAAGAAGAAGGGGCACTGCGCGATCGTAATCGCCGCGATAGTTGCTAATGGAGTTATTCTAAATTGCACCAAAATCTTTCTCAGTCACCGTCGCGCATAGACGGTGAGTACCATCAAGACATGAATCACCCTACCTCTTATGCGATTATAGGCAGCCGGCACACGCATTAGCTTGATTATGGACAACGCACCCTAACTTTCAAGGCAGCTCGAAGGTGTGCCAACGTCCGCATCGACTAAAACTCAGACAAAGAGCTACTTAGAGCTGAAGGGGATGGCGTGTCGAAAAGAAGTACAAAAGCTGAATTGCTGGTTAAGGTGGTCCTCACAGCAGTTTGATGAAGGCTCCAATAGTTTTCTTATTTAGCTCGGAAGCTTGGTGGATACCGTCAGCATCGATCGCCTACGGAAGAATACATGTGATCAGATGTGTAAGGACGGTGGGGTGAATGTTATCAGGCTGCCCCCATTCCACTGCTCCTTTAATCCAGTGGAATCCTACTGAAGCCATTTAAAAGCGCACTTGTGCAAATAAGGTAAAACGAGCGACAGACTAGAAGCGGTAACGCACAGTATTTGACGACAATATTTGAGGATTTTCGGCACTTGCTTCAACCTAGGCCAAAGGCAGAGCCGTTGGATGATGGAGCAGCTACCTCCTACCATGACCAGAGGATGGCTTGAAGACGTGCGAAAAGAAGAAGAGAAGGCTCGGGAGCAGACGGATGCTGATACTTCAAACACAGATTTGACTGATATCACATCCATAGCCGAATCTGACTCGAGCATTCCGTCGCTCAGTTCATCCTCTGATGAAATGAGCGATGAGGAGGATTAGTGAGGATTCATTTAGACTATACCGCCGATTGCGGTACAGAGATCGAGCGCCGCATTCCGTGACGTAGTTTGAGTGAGTTTATTTCAAACTCATTTTCTTATTACCAAGAACTGAGTATTTCATTCTTCCAGCTAAGTTAGTGAACAGGACGGAAGAAGACCAAAGTCTGTTGGTCTGAGTTCAAGTGAAGAAGATATTATATATACAGTGTCCCAAAAAGATGTGCACACTGTTTGATCGTTAATATAGTGTGGACCCCGGCCAGGTTCTCATATGTACCCCCACGCCGCGCACGCAGCGCACGCGTCGGGCTGCCGTCTAGGCGCCCTCGTGTTTTCGTGTCCCTTCGCATTTCTAAGCTTCTTTCTTCTTTTTTCTCCGTTTTTTGTGCTTATACTCTGCATTTCAGGCAAGAAAATCCAAGAGAATAGCCGATAACCGCTACAGCATGCCGTCTTCCTTGTTAACGAGCATGCTTGAGGGGCTAAACAGGTAGGACCCGGCCTGTCGGTTGCTGCAGCGGACCCCTCTCTTGGACTTTCCTTCTACGTTAGAGCCCAAGTCCTGCCCGAGAACTTGCCGAAGTCTTGTAACCAAGTAAGTTAAGCGAAAGGAACCCCTTGTTTGACCAATCTGGCTAATTTAAAGTGTTCGATTACGAGTGACAGGTTTGTTGAAACACGGGGTGTCCTCTATAGAGATTCAGGATCGCACACAATGTCTGAATAAGACTGAACTTGATTTTTTTTCTCTCCATGCTGAATTACTCGCAAAATTCCCAACAAAGATCAAATCACTTCAATGATGTAATATAAGGGGAACAGAAATGTAATATGCTTTTACCTCACTTGGTTAAAAGACCTCGGCGAGTTCTCGGGCAGGACTTGGGCTAACCTAGAAGGAAAGTCCAAGAGAGGGGTCCGCTGCAGCAACCGACAGGCCGGGTCTTACCTGGTTTAGCCCTCAAAGTTCGATAACAAGGAAGACGGCATGCGCGGTCATCGGCCATTCTCTTGGATTTTCTTGCCTAAAAGGCAGAGTATAAACACAAAGAACGGAGAAAAAAGAAGTAAGAAGCCTAGAAATGCGAAAGGACACGAAAACACGAGGGCGCCTAGACGGCAGCCCTACGCAAGCGCTGCGTGCGCGGCGCGGGGGTATATATGAGAACCTGGCCGGGGTCCAAACTATAACTCTTGCTTTCATGTCTTTTACCGAGCCTACTGGATTACAGACCAACAATCACATGGCAATTAAACCAGAAACTTAGAACTTGTTGCATAGCTCCAAACATTTTACGCTGATGGGTATAGTTGGAACCGAATATACATGTTCGAACACTTATTCGAATATTCAAATATTGAAGACCATTTCGAACACTCAATGTCAAAAAAGAACTTCGGCTGTTTTACATTGGGTGCAAGTATGTCCCCGATCAGTCAATCATACAATGAATGATCAAAGGACAAAGTGGCTAGCAAGGTTCCCTTTTTAACGCAATCGCGAGTCATGCCAGAGTATAGTGATGACAAGTCCTATGCATAATTCATTTGGAGTGGTGATCTATCTTCTGGAAACCGCGTCTACAGAAGCTGAGATGCGATATTATGCGCAAATACCTCCAAGCTCTAAATTGGGTAAGAAGCACCGTCATCAGGCGGTGCTTCACTTTAGCACTACTGATCCTCCAACAGCTTGCATAAGCATGTGGCCAGCAGTCCTTTAAAGCAGCACATACTGGAGACTTCATTCCTTCGTTCAGAGATCTCCACTTGCCTTGCCAGCCTTATCATCCTCGCATGTACCTGAAAGATGCCTGAAATATAATACCTGAAAGATACGTTAACCAGCGCAAGTCCAGAGCATGGCTGTCGCGAGGACCTGGACCGTTGACTTGTGGCGGCAGCCTCTATATGTCAGTCACCACACTCAAATATCTACAACTTTTATTGTCAGGACCAGAGGTGCGATAGGGGGAGCCAAGTCTCCCCCTACCTTCACTTTTGAGCTGGTACGGGGTGACCACCTTCACTTTTGGAATAAAAATTTTTTCGCTGGACGACAAAGAAGGAAAATAAGCAAAACAAACGCAAAAAAGATTATTGAAAGCATATTTTTATGTATACGGCGGCATATATATTTAAAATAAAGGTTTTTAGTAAATGGTGTATTTGGAAGTAAAGCTTAGCAAAACTGTACGGATTTTATTAAGCAAATTATGTTATAACGTATAGCGAAGGAAGTAGGTCGATCCAGGCAGTAACGGCGGAGAACCCGAATTTTGAATATTTAAATAGTGAAAAATCATGCGAAATTTCCACTGTTATAAATCTGTTGTTTGAAGATGTCAGCAGTTGCGACTTCATAGGTTTTGAAGAGTAGATGTTGCTCTATCAGCTAGTGAAGGAATCGGGTCGATTTAAGAGATAGTCGTTGAAAACCAGAGTTCTAAAACTTTACGCCATTTTTGCGTGTTTTTTGACTGTTGAGAGTTAAACTCTTATAAATCTTGAATGTGGAAGTGTATGATGTTGCGACTTCATAGGTTTTATAGAGTAAGGTTTGCCTTATCAGAATATGTCTTGTCCGTTCCGATCCATTGAAACACCTCCGAGATCCAGAGTCATGAAAAAGCAGGTAAAAAAGAGCTTTTTGAATTTCAACAGCTCATAACTTCTTCAGGATTGCACGAATCATGTTGCGACTTCATAGGTTAGATTCTTCTCGTCAAGAGCTTTCAGATGATATATAATATGTGGGGGTTTAGAGCCTCCTGCGAATTATGACCGGGGGGGGGGGGGGGGGGGGGGAGACTTTTTAGGCCAAAGTCTCCCCCTCGCCCATTTTAATGTATTGGCTGGAGGCTGCCGGGGGAGACTTTGGCCTAAAAAGTCTCCCCCCCCGGGCATATGCCGTAAGAGGCGCGAAACCCCCACATATTATATATCATCTGAAAGCTCTTGACGAGAAGAATCTAACCTATGAAGTCGCAACATGATTCGTGCAATCCTGAAGAAGTTATGAGCTGTTGAAATTCAAAAAGCTCTTTTTTACCTGCTTTTTCATGACTCTGGATCTCGGAGGTGTTTCAATGGATCGGAACGGACAAGACATATTCTGATAAGGCAAACCTTACTCTATAAAACCTATGTAGTCGCAACATCATACACTTCCACATTCAAGATTTATAAGAGTTTAACTCTCAACAGTCAAAAAACACGCAAAAATGGCGTAAAGTTTTAGAACTCTGGTTTTCAACGACTATCTCTTAAATCGACCAGATTCCTTCACTAGCTGATAGAGCAACATTTACTCTTTAAAACCTATGAAGTCGCAACTGCTGACATCTTCAAACAACAGATTTATAACAGTGGAAATTTTGCATGATTTTTCACTATTTATTTATTCGAAATTCTGATTCTCGGCCGTTACTGCCTGGATCGATCTACTTTCTTCGCTGTACGTTGTAACAAAATTTGCTTAATAAAATCCGTACAGTCCAACAAACTTCTACTTCCAAATACACCATTTACTAAACACGTCTATTTTAAATTTTTATAAATAAAATTTATAGATATTTTTAATATTCATCGTATCTGTGGCCCTAAAGAGGCCATTGGGTCGACGTTAGACCTAGAAAGATAGCTCCGTTCGTCCGTTCTATCCTCCCCCCGCACCTCCCCCCCCCCGTCGACGTTTTTGGGAGGTGAGTGTCCGACACTACCACCTTCACTTTTGGCCGGCCAGTGGTAGCTGAAACCACCTTCACTTTTGGGGGACCCGGCTCCCCCTATCGCACCTCTGGTCAGGACGCGTAAAAAAACTAATGTTAAAATTTTGCAAACTTCATAGAGGAATAATGCTTTGAGTAGGCTTGTAGGTTGAACGATAATTAATTGAAACTGAGTAGAAGATGTGGAAAATTCCTTACAACAATAGTAACCGCAATACAGCTAAAACAACGTTTCGAAATTTCAATCGTACAACGGAAAGTGTGAAACTCAGCGATTGATAATTTGCGCTGTGTATTATTGGCAGCTAATATACAGATCTTTCCATGACTTTCCTTTTTCTGGGTTTGGATGCGATGGATACAAAACTATTATGTAGACGACAGTGCGTCACCTCTGCTGCAGAGTTCACTGATTCTATTACTGTAGGCCTTCCTCGTGCTCTCCCAGTGCTAGTCTCAGAACTCACGCAATGCTGGCGACGAATAAGTTGCAAACAACTAGCTATTCTTAAAGGTTTTCCATGTTAAATCTGTAGTTTTGGGAGAAAGTGCTGTGTAATTTGGAGAGAAACTTCTTTGAGAAAGACTTGAAATGGCTACTAACAAGGGAAGGATGATCGGTCGAAGTGGCCATTTGGAATGAGCTGTATATTAGGAAACCGTTCTCGGTAAGGCAAACTCAAAACTACTTTCGCTAGTTGCCGAGCGGTTTTGTGGAGGAAGTTACAAGGCCATTTTTCTCCGACGCAGCTGGCGCACCCAGTAATGAGCGAGGCGCTAGAACAACCCAGTAGTGTGGCGGTGGCGCAGTGGCAAGACAGTGGACCACGAAGCAGGTGGTTGAGTTCGAGTCCTGTTGATGCTACTTAGTTTTGCAGTTCTGTAAAAAGTCTGTTGGGTGACAGTAAATGAAAAATACTCATTTATACGCAGTTGAAACAAGCTGTTTACTGTAAAAAAGCCTCTATTTCTACAACAAGCTATAATCTTCTACAATATGTAAATTTGTGGAGGTTATGATGTCACAACAATGGATTTCAGTGATATATTATTAAGTATGGAATACAACCACAAATTGCTCAAAGCAGAAGAGCTTCTCACGGCGCGCGCATCGGATTAAATATAAACGATGACAATCAGCAGCTTCACCAAAATTACAATCATTAGCGAAAAAAACGCCTTTTGAGTATCTAGTATAGCAAAAAACAAAAAGAAAACATTTCGAGTCGATTAAAGGCTCTGCCATTGGATAGAGTACCATTTTAGTGCTCGGAATGTCGAAAAAACCTCCTAGGCCAACCAAATCTGTGGCCTCAACAATCCGGCGATGCATTTATCGCCACGTAGTTCGAAGGACACCGCATATGATTGGAGCGCGATATCTATCAACGCGTAGAATTACAATACTTTTGGTTAAAAAAAAGAGGAGAGGCAATGGTTTTATT